ACGAGGGGACTATGAGTGGATCATTGCCGGCCGCCGCCATCAACTAGAAACAACTAGAAGACGATTCTTTTTGTAGATAAAATAAATGAATTTTTCCAAGCTGACTTTTTCTAACCCTTGAAATATTAACAAAAGCTAGTCTGGTACTGGTACCAAATAAAAAAGGTATGTTTAAGTAAAGTCGTAAGTAAAGTAAGTCGAGGTAGATGGGTGGTAAAAAAATTTACGACGTGCCTAAAGAATTTTATATAGTGATCGAAGAACCAGATGCAATCTGATGCTAAGGTTAAGTTTGTAGATACGTATATTATCAAATATAAGAAGTTTATACTCATTAAAACATGTCATTTGCATGAGAAGAAAAATAATATTAAAATATATCACGCCACTGTCCGCATCGTACACATTTATAGTCCATCTACCAAAAAACTTTGCAGGCAAATTATTAGTAATATGATTTGATTGAAGTTAAATTTAATGCTTGTGTCTATATAGGCCGATTTACATTATCTTAGTGTTTAGGAGAGTGCTTTAGGATAGTACTTTAGTTGAAACATGTAAACGCTACTTGCTTTAGTACGGTTCTACTTGACTTTCAAGTTGAATCAAAATAGAATCGCTTTTTATTTTTGTTTCAAGTTCTTCCCCTCTCGCGCCCGCGCACCCCCCGAGATCTTCCCTCGTTGTGTGTAAACACATAATTTAGTCAAATCTTTAGGAGAGTGCATAAGTGCCGTGAAACGCGTGCGTGTTTTTTGATTTTTAAAGATGGCTAAATGGTCGGAAGATACAACTATCAAATTTGTGTCTGAATATGTTGTTCACGAATGTTTGTGGAACGTTAAAAACAATTTATACAAAAACAAACCGGCTAGGCATTCGGCATACACTGCCTTAAAAGAAGCTATTTTGTTTATTATTTATATTTAGTTTATTTATTTCGAATAAAATCTCGTCTTCTATTTGTTCCATAACTACAGTTAGTATTTTGCGTAGAATAGAGCGCGTTCATTGTGGCGCTGTAATGATACTCTACTGGAAGAAATGTAAACGTTCACTCGCAACGCACTAAGTTCAAGTTGTACTAAAGCACTCTCCTAAACACTAAGATAATGTAAATCGGCCTTTAGGTTATGTAGTTTTTCTTTAAATTAAAATGCATGGTTTTTTTATACAGCTGCTTAATCTTCATAAATTTAGTTTCCATGTAGTTTGTTGGGTCTTCCACCAAGAGTAGTATTAAGACGATTTTAATCACTTTATTTTGTAGAACCTGAAGTTGTTTAAGTTTACTAGTTGAAGCGCTAATCAAATAAAACGTGATTTTAAGGAATTATACAAGTGGACTGTTTTTGGACAGCATCTAGCAACTTTTAGTCGATTTCAATGCTCTCTAGTTAGCCATTATTAATAGATTCATCATAATATCTGAAACGTATTGAACAAAATAATTGAAGTAATTTTTAATATTTTTTGTATCTCGTACTTAGTTAAGTAATAAATAAAACTTCGATATTTGTAACAAAAATATATTTATTATTATTAATTTTTACACATTCGCCTGTATACCACTTGATGGAAGGTCTTCAAACTTCATAGCCTGCAAGAGGTTCCAACGCGCCTGGCCTGGTTAGATCTCAAAAAGCGCTATTCGAAACCTGAAAAAAAAATTATTTATACTAAATTTGTATTGTTCAGCAATCGTAATCAACAAAACCGATTGATTGACCAAAACGGTTTGTAGTGTATCGCTATAACCGTGGCAGCGTTGTTTCGCAACTGCGGCAGTTTTGACCACTGTTATATAGTCTGATATATATACACAGCGTTCGTATTAACTAAGCTGCCATAGGCTATCAGACAGACAGGTAATATGATAAATATTTAACCAGGGTGAACATTTTTGGTGAATTTTATACAATTCTGATGAATCTGATACATTTTTAAAACCACATTAAAATTTTCGTAGATAATATCTAACTTTCAAAAAAAAGTTAAATTAAACTTATTCTCACCATAAGAGATTTTGTTGTAGGTACCAACATCAGGTAGGACTCAGGACTCGGAAAATCTGTAAATGTAGTTTTCTTTAATATACTGGCGTTGGTGAGAGAAATAGAATTTATTTTCTTTGACAATCAGACATGTTTGTTTGGTCAACATGGTTGTATTGGGTTCTCTCTGGTGAGGGAGACCTGAAGGTCTGGTCATCATGAAAAATCTTGTAATTGATTGCATATATGATGGCCACTGTTTAAGTTTTAATACAAGTCCCATTTATAAGTGAATTATGTACGCAATTTTAAATAGAAACTTACATAATCAATAATTTAAATTCCAGATGGTCACAAGCTTGTAAAGTGGGAATAGGGGGCCCCCACCGCCCCACCCTAAAAGAAAAAAAATAAGCATCAAATATATATATACTAAATTTATAAATGTGTATAAGATGTGCTAAAAAATCAGACATATATGGTAGGTCAACATGGTTGTATGGGTTCTCTCTGGTGAGGGAGACCTGAAGGTCTGGTCATCATTTTAATTTTGAGACACTGAAATGGACTATTACTCTATAGCAGAGATAGACCCCTATCTTAGAGGTCATGTGACCTGTCTAATAGTAATTGTCAGTCCTAAGTTAGAACGTAAATTACTTCATACAAAGAAAATCAAATTTGACATAATTCTAAATCTTTGATCTAAAAATTTGAACAACCAAATAAGTTTATCTAGAATGGAAGTTACGAATCTCGAAGTATAAGTTTGATAATATTTTTTTATATTATTCAAGGTAAAATAACTTACCATAGATTAATATTTGCTTATAACTTCTTTAGAACAGCAAATTCCTTAAAATAAACAAATACAATAAGTTACACTGCATATTAAATATTAACTAAATAATATTTAGTAGAAGATCAGACATGTATGGTTGGTCAACATGGTTGTATTGGGTTCGCTCTGATGAGGGAGACCTGAAGGTCGGGTCATCATGAAAATATTAATTTCCTATTATAAATACTATTCTTTTAGGAATCAAACATTTATTTTAGTTAAAAGTTAAAAGAAATTGGTTATACATAATTTCTTTGTTTTTGTCTGGGAAACTCTTGTTTAAAATATTTTTTATAGTAATTTTAATAGAATAGCAACTTACTTTGTTTCAAAAAGTCACAGTGAATCTCAAATGATTATATCTGAAAAAATAAATTATAAATCTATTAAAATAAGTGAATTTTAAAATTTATTTATAATGTTTGATTAGAGAAATCAGTTAGGATAGTTATGTTAACAACATTATAATTCAGTTGTCCCTATCTAAGGTCATCATTGTAATCGTATACATTTTTGTATTTATATTATCATTAAAAATATATATTTTACTGTTAAATTATACATCAATTATATCATGAATTAATTAAATCAAGAACTAACCTTATTTCATTGCAAAATGTCTTATTGACTTATGTTAAAATGTCGTAATGGCTTAGTCATTCCATCTTTATTTCCCCACTTCAATTTTTGACCTAAGAAAAAAACTATGTTTAATATTGTTATGAAAACCAGGTTTTTCAAATAGTGAACAAGATATTATCAGTTTAGATAGTTATATTGACAGCATTATAATCAGATGTCCCTATCAAAAATCATCATTTTTTTTGTATTTTTTTTTTGTTTAACATGAAAGCCTCCATAAATTATTATGAAATTATTACTCTCTCTACTATTAATACTCTTAAATCACCTCAATACTCAAAATAAAAAACAAAACATTCTGTAACTTTTTGAGGCTAATAGACTATTACAAAAAATCATTGAAAATTGTCCTAGTTATTAGTCTGAAATACTTACTTTTTATTCATATTCGGGATCCATTGAATTCTGAAACAATTAAAAATATTTGAAATAAACATTTTAAAATAATATTTTTAATATAATTTTTTGTCTTGTCAGATAGGAGCGAAAGACATAAGCTGTGAGTACATCATTGAAGTCAGCTGAACTATGAAATCATCATTTTATCTTAATTCAACATAAATTTTATTATCCTTTAGTCCTAAAAAGCTATATTTATTCACTCCATAATCATGAAAATGAATTATTATTTGAAAAGATCTAGGATGCTCTTTATTGTAATGTGACCTATAAATACATATTTATCTTTTTGTTTAAATCAAGTGCGCTTGCAACTTCGGTTGTTGAAAATGATTAGGCTAGTATCCAATATTACCTTTAATAACTATACTGGCATCATTAGTTGTTGTCATGTTGTAATTATTTCAAATCTGAAAATAAAAAACCATTAAAATAAGGTTTGATGGATATTTAAATAAATTTTATTAATTAAGTGTTAATCAGATAGGAGCGAAAGACATAAGCTGTAATACATCACTGAATTCAGCTGAACTATGAAATCATCATATTGGGTTTTAAATTAATAAATTTGAAGTAACATAGCTATAATTTAAGATAAGGGTCTGTTTCATTACTTTCAGTAAAAGGCATCCTTTTCTGGATACAACAAAGCAGAAAGAATTGTTGAGTTCTTAGTAATAAAATAATATTAGTATTTTTTTAGATTCTAGTACTGAATTGTTTCATTACCTTTGCTCTAAATACTGGGCCTGCTGATGGTTGTTATGGCATTAAGGCATGTTTTAGTTCTAAGATAACCTGAAATCATAAAAAGATATCAACGATTATTCATGATGCCTTTCTACAATAAAATAGATATGCATTATTAAGTTAGTCAGATAGGAGCGAAAGACATAAGCTGTGAGTACATCAGTGTATTCAGCTGAACTATGAAATCATCATAATGTGATACTTTCAAGAAAATTTTACTACTCATATTATATTAAAAATGATTAAGAAATCAATTGTATTAGAAACAAATTTAGTTTTAAAAATTGATGGAACTATCTAGTTCAAAATAATTACTGTGCAAATATTAGTATAAAATAGTTACCAATCACAAGCTTATTATTCCCAATATTATTCTAAGCTCTTGCCACATCTGAAACAACAAATATACATATATAGAAATGAATTATAAATAATCACCATAAGGTTATTGAATATTTCAGAATGGCTTGGTCTGCGTCATATCTCACAACTGGTGTCCCTAATCTAAATGATGCTACTTTTAAACATTTTAGATTTTTAATAAAAAAATTAAATTTAAAATACTAACTTACTTACTAGATAAGAAAATACCTTAATTTAAAACCCTAAGCTAATAATTTTAACCTGTTGTGAGACAACTGGAGTTTTTCTGCTGCACTGCGATATCATCATTAAGAAAATAAAAAAAATACAAACCCAAATAATGAATAACAAGAATTGACATACCTGAAAAATTTACCTGGAGTTAAACTATCACTCAATCAGCTTCTGTAACAAAAGTCAAGTTTAAGGCATTTGATTAAATAATATTTATTTTAAAATTAATTTTTGTTATAAAATTAACTATATCATGAGAAAATACATAAGATGAAAATCATTATTTTATCAATGGTTAGCACTTTTAATCATTTTAAATTTTGCAAAAAATTACCACTCCTAAATTTATTAAGAGAGTCACCTTTAGCTTCAGGCTTCTTGTACTTTCCCTGAACAAAAATTCTTGGAACATCAATGCCTTCTTTGAAATTCACAGTTCTCCGCTGCACATAGGTATTTGAAAGTATTTCAAATCCAGCTTGGGTGAAAAGATTGGCCAACTCTTCTTCAGTAAAATAATAAGACCTGTAACAAAATCAATATGAAAAATCCAGGGTTAAAAACATTCATAATGAACATATTTCAGAAATGACCTTACCGAGTACCATCCTGTCTCATGTAGAAATTCTCAGATATTTTATGTCCAGGTTTAAACCTTAATTGGGCCATATCGTATCTTCCATAATCTCTGAATAATAGGACCCCACCCGGCTTCAAGGCTTTAAATGCAACGCTAGCCACTTGCGCCCACATGCTTGGATTAATTGCAGATAACACAAATATTAAACTAGCTATATCTGCCACATTCTCACAAATATTCTCGAAAATATCATCTGTCGTGAGATCTGCACAAAAAGCTTTTACACGACATTCGTTATATAATTTATTTGACTTTACAAAATCGATTGCACGTGGTGAAAAGTCACATGCGTAGAAATAAAAGTTGGAGAAACCTTCCTCTAATAATGGAAATATCATGTTTCCTACTCCACATCCCAGTTCTAGAAATATGATTTGTTGCTCCGAATCAAAATTTATCAACTCTTGAAACTCACGTGTCGTCCAATGGCGGTCGCGAAAGAACTTTGTTTCATTTCTTTTATAAAATATATCCCAGTGTCTCTTAGCCTCTCTGTCGAGTTTCGCTGCTTTAGCTTCATGGACAATACGCGTATTTTGTGATTCTAGCAGTTTCATTTCCTCTTCGGTTAATTGCTTCAAACGGTGAAGAAAAACGTCGCCGTTGGGTGCAACATTTTCATCCGTTTCCATCTTGACGAGTACTTATTATTTACGATAAAAACTAGTTTAATAGGCTCCGCATTGGTTTTAACAATATTAATTTCGTTCTATGTACATATTTACCATTTGGTGAAGTTTGAAATATGGCGAAATAAAGACACAGCAGTCAGCACTGCAGTCAGCGCGACCGCGGACCGACTACACTTATGAGTTATGACTTTACAGTTAACAGTTAACACTACTACTGACGTGACGTCTGAGTTGAGAGTTCTGACCAGTGTTCACAACCTGAAGCCAGGCAGTTATCGTACCAGGGCCGTAAAATTATCGTATATGTGATCCATATACGATAAATTATCGTACAGTCAGGAAAATGGCTAAAAATACTTTAAAAAATCAAATGAAACGTGAAAATAAAATGTTGCAAACGATTTATAGTTTAAATCTTGTAAACATGTGTTTTTCAAATTGAAAAAAATCATAATAATTCAATCTCTTTCGTCAAAGAGGAACAAAAATACGCAATATTTTCTCGTTGAACAATATGGTGTTCGCTCTAAGTGATATACCTATTGTCCGTAAACATCGCATATTATTTTTATCACTTAAAATTCGTTAGGTATTAAAATTATCGAAGACTTCCAAATCTGCGTCACCATACAAATCGTGAATTTTTTGGTTGTGCATTCTGATGCGTTTTTGTGTTTGTACATTAACGCTTTGTTCATCTGCTGTAGTTGCCTTGTGACAGCATAAGTTCCTAATAGAAAAATAAGCCAATAGATGGCACTGACACTAAAAACTGTAATTGTTATTGGGCTATCTGTGTAATCATCAAATATTTTATCAGACTGGAAATTATCGTACAATCTGCGTACGATAGTCATGTACCATCGTACATCGTACGTAGTTATGAAATTATCGCAAATGTACGATAATTATCGTACGGTTGTGAACCCTGGTTCTGACTGACTATTGACTAATGACCACTGACCTGTGACAGTGACTACACAGTGACTATACACGCCGCCCCGCTCCCGCCGGACGCCGGTAGTAAAGACCCGGTGGTTAGACCAAACAACTCACAGTACACAGATTAGATATAGTCAGCAGTCTTATTTCCTAATGTTATTAATTTTTTTTTTGGAGTTTATGTCGTAATGTTAGTTTTTTTTTTTTGGAGTTTATGGCCTATGGTATCTAGACCTTTAAGCCATCGTAATGTTAGTTATATACTGAAGAAATCATAGATAATACACTATGTCGGCACAGCAAGAGCAAACTATAATGGAAATATGTATCACCATTCACTACAGACAAGACAATCGAGTATGGAATAAAAAATCAGTATGCTCAGAGAGCTAAATTAACAAAATTGCAGTCAAATATATTTTTTAGTAATCAATGTGTTCCACTATTTAATTGATTGTTCGGGATTATCCGTATATTATGGGACGTAGGCGAAATCTGTTTTTTCAATTGGGAAACCATATACACAAAGAAAAAGATAGGACTACTCATGCTTTGTAACGTTTAGTAACAGATTAGATGAAGTATTCTGATTTACTTGTAATTGGGAATAAAGTTATAACCGCGATGATAGCGACCTCAAAAATCAAAAACGTTTGCCAAATTAAAATTTTATTTAATTAAACTGGACATCTTGTCGAGCAAGCTCCAACAACATAGGATCGTCGAAGAACTTGTTAATAGAGACATCTTCACTAAGCCCCTTACGTCTACGTGTCTTTATCATGAATTCACGAGCCAAGTGAGTTGCTGGCTGGGGCTCTAAGGGCCTGTAAAAAATATCAAATGATTTATTGGACTATAATTTAAAATTAAGTTTTCCTTATGGCGCGTCTAAACGGGCCATGTTTTGCTGCAATTGATGGCTGCACTGTTGGCCACTAATTGCCCGGCCATTACAAAAATATTTTAATGCAGCTGATGGCCGAACAATCTATGGATGGGCAATGTGTTGCAATAGTATGGCCCATGATGCAGACTCCTAAACGGGCTATACAAACCGGCAACAATGGCTGACGAAATCACACTTGTCGCAGCAGCTTATATTGTTTTAAAAAAGAAACAGAAAAAGAAGAGATTGTGGATTCGACCTTACTTAAATAGGCGTGAAACTGTAGACAATTTGAGTCTAGAAATAAGTCTTGATAATAAATTATTCAAGAACTAGAATGTCAAAAGTAGTCATTTTTACGTAGTAATCTAACGTCAAATACAGCTGATCGCAAAACACAGAATAAAGCAACAGGCACACTTCACTCAAAGCAAACGTCATGTCGCGTAGAAAAGGATACACTATGCCATAACAAAGAGAGTGACTGAAACAACAAGAGAACTGGCCGTGCAATATTGCAGTTGAATTCGATAGCCTAGCGATCGTCCGGCCACCTATCGGGGCAACATCGGCCATATGTGGCTATACAAAACATGTTTGGCTATATGGCCGGGACATTACTGCAATATTGCATAGTGTGGCTGCTATTGTTTGCAATGTTGCCGGCCACAGTGTTGCAGCCATCAATTGCAGCAAAACATGGCCCGTTTAGACGCGCCATTAACCAAATAATATTACTTTCGAGTCTCACACAACACGTTAGTTTTATGTTAGAAGTATATTGAAGTTATATACATATTTATATAGGTTTTTCTGTGAATTTTTCTCTATATAAACCTGAGTTGAAGTCATAAGTTTTCAATTAACAAATTAAAATAGGGGTGAATAGTAGAGGGGTGAAATTAAGGGTTGTATGTATTTTTGTATCCTATATCATAAAAAAATATAAACAAAAAAATTTGTCTACAAAATAAAAATTTAGAATGGACCACCCTTAACATTTAGGGGGATGAAAATAGATGTTGTCTGATTCTCAGACTTACTGAATATGCATAAAAATTTCATAAGAATCGGTCGAGCCGTTTCGGGGGAGTATGGGAACGAAAATTGTGACACGTGAATTGTATATATTAGATTGAAGTTATATACATATTTATTATAAAAAAATCAGATCTATCTACATCACTGCAGTAAATTTGGCTAAACATATTTTTAATTTTTTTTTACACAATAAAACATTAAATGAGATATCTCATTCAGGTGTGCTAATGATATCTAAAAGTAAGACAGATTTTAGATCACAAAATCTGTTATCTATATAATTTTAATACCGTAAGAGAACAAACTTACCGTATAATTATACTCTTATCCAAGGGATCTCCAGGCACAATCTGCCAGTGATGGAACACTTGAAGGCAGAAGGCCTGTCCCTGCGTGTGAGTTCGTAAATCGGTCTCAAAGCCGAACGAATCTATGGCTGGCACAAATGCCTTGATTGTATATAAAGGAGAACCAGGCACCGGTGCATCTTGAGTTACATGACCTAAATAACATATTTCATATAAAAATCGATAATATATATTTTGTTTTCTCTTTTACAAAATTTACAATTTATTATAATGATATAATGAAAGAGCAATTACTGGATTAGTATATTCTGGTCAAAGGAAAAATAACGATAGATTTCGATTTTTTTGACCGTTCAACGTGATCTTAACGTACATAACAATTAAAGAGAAATCTAAGGAACGAATAAATTTGCTAGAGAAAAATAAACTAACCTCTCCGTTTAGCTAGAACTGTGTAAACCGCCGACACACAATCAGCTGGTGCTTGCACTTCCACAAACAAATAGGGCTCCATCAAACGCGGTGTTGCCATTAAGAAAGCCGAATATGCCACCTAAAGAGGAAAAAGATCTTGACATTAATAGAAATGTCCCTTTGTATTACTTTACATTAAAACTAATTGTTATGAATTTCATCCTGATACTGTACTGGGGCTGTCTGTCCCTAACTTATTAATAACATAGATACATTATTCACCAATTTCCATAAATTTCGGTATCCCTTATTGATAGGAGTTGGAAATACAGGTTTTTTATTATAATTTATATATAAATCTGTGGCGCTACAAAATTTATACGTCCAGATTTCTGTGTGTTTCATTAGTCAATGTAATACGCAAGTATGTGATCAGGCTCTTGTGTCTGACACACACCGACGACTTTTTGGGTCAAAGGCAAGCCGGTTTCCTCACGATGTTTTCCTTCGCCATTCGAGCAAATTATAAATGCGCACATAGATAAAAGTCTATTGGTGCACAGCCGGAGATCAAACCTACATCATCAGGAATGAGAGTCGCACACTAAAGCCACTAGACCAACACTGCTCTATTTTAATTCATTGGTGCTTCAAAAAAATTGTTACAAGTGATTGTCTATTTAAATCTTTGCTTTGATTAATATTTATAAGAATATATAATTTGACCATTATAGTTTTTAGTATTTTTTTTTCACGCTTTCAATCTAAAAAAGTATTGGTTTACTGTACATTTGTAACATATGACATTTTTAAATTTTATTCTTTTATAGCAATTCTTTTTACATCCTTTATTGTCACAATTTTTTTTCAATTTCTATACATTAACGATATACGATGTTTTATATTAAATTGAATATATTAGTTATTATGATTAATTCTGCGGGGCGTAAACGTCTTACCCGTCTAGCTGTAGGTATTATCTGTCCTCCACCACGATGTAAGGGCTCTTGGGCGATCACCGCGTCCAAAATTTTAAATTTCACATTTCGTATCGGCTCTTCACATAATGGACCTTCCCTGGTACCCCATTGGAAACCTAAAAAGTATTCACACTAGTCTTATTCGTTGGTTATTGTTAGACTGAGATTGTAAATTAGTTCGTTTAATATGAAGTTGAAAGTACAGTGTAAACTCTTTATAACGTCATTCGGTATAACGAAAAATACTCTATAACGTAAAAAATATTTAATAACACAAAACCCATACATGCATTCACTCTTTATAACGCAACAGCTATTCTCTATTACGAAGAAATATTTTTAAATTTAGACATCAACAACATACTTAAGTGTAATTGTTTTCAACCTTAATTGCTTTTAACCTTCCAACCTAACCTAATGAGGTGCCGAAATTTATATGAAAGACACCTGAGGTCATCAAACAGCCGTTTCGCCTTTGTTATTGTTAATTGCATTAACACGTGTGCCATTATTCTTAGATTACATTGCCTGTAGGACATTTTGGTCTCAGTTACTAAACGCACCATTGTCACCTATCTATTTTATAATTTTATAAATTATTGTAATTAACCAATTTGGTGTTTTTTCTCTTCCCTCCGTATAACGAAGAAAAGTGCTCGGAATCTTGAAATTCGTTATAAAGGGTTTACACTGTATTTTATAAATATACGAATTGAAAATTAATTATTTAACCTAGCAGTAAAAGCATTTCGAAAAATACTAAGGCTATCCAATTAATTAGATATTTGTTTATTTAGAATCACAGAAAAACTTAAAATTTCTCCGAATAATTTATTACTCAAATACATAATTACAATAATTGTAATGTGTCTAATTCATTATATTTAAAATTAATTAAAATACCTTGAACAATACTATCCTTGACGGAGGCGAGCAAATGCTTGTCAACCTCTGAGGGTAGCGTATCATCGACCAATATATTTGGACCCGTCGAATCTGGTCCGAACGCCCAAATTGATCGAGCGGCTAGCAAGTCCCAGTCGTATCTGAAATAACGTTAGTAACGTTAAAGAGTTAATGTTTAGCGTGTTTTACTCCTTTTAATTACTTTTTTTTATTAAGTCTCTTATTAAAGAAAAAAACAGACCCGAACTTAAAAATAATATTTAATACTTCTGTATTAGTGAAAGAGTTGTAGGCAAAAGAAACATTTCTTTGGAGATAAGGATCAAATCCCTTATTTATAAGAACTACATTAGTTTAATTCTAACTAGTCCTATAGAAAAGAGACAATTGAGTACTTTATTTTCAAGAGACAATTGAGTACTTTATTTTCAAGAGACAATTGAGTACTTTATTTTCAAGATACAATTGAGTACTTTATTTTCAAGAGACAATTGAGTACTTTATTTTCAAGATACAATTGAGTGCTTTATTTTCAAGAGACAATTGAGTACTTTATTTTCAAGAGACAATTGAGTACTTTATTTTCAAGATACAATTGAGTGCTTTATTTTCAAGATACAATTGAGTGCTTTATTTTCAAGATACAATTGAGTACTTTATTTTCAAGAGACAATTGAGTACTTTATTTTCAAGATACAATTGAGTGCTTTATTTTCAAGAGACAATTGAGTACTTTATTTTCAAGAGACAATTGATTACGTTACCACACAGACAGTTTATTTAGAATATTTTTTTAGATAATTTATGCCGATTCCATCGACTCAGTAGCTGAAAACCTTCGTGACCAATAAAACTAATATGTCAAATTCAAGCACCAAGAAAAATAACATTTATGGAAAAAAATATTTCATCTAAGGCGCTAATTCGGATTCCTACGTTTTTTATATAGGGTTTTATTCTAAAAAAAAAAACAATTGAAAATGGCTGCCCTAATACTCACTTTGTCTGGAAGAACTCTCCCAATCTCTTCCTGTCCCATGTGACACAAACAGCTCCAGCCTCGATGTCTTCAGCTAATCCTCGTTCCAAAGGTTCAGCTATCATTGTCAATTTGTTTCTCTTATTCGGTGTCTCCGCGAAACATTTGAGGGAAGATGTTTCCACTACCGTCTCACAGAATGATACCACCGGATCAGCCACTGAAAGATTATAGACATTATAATTGTATGCACACCGATGATTCAAAAGAAAGGTAATTTTTTACGGAAACATCACGATTATGTGCAGCGTTTTTGTCGGAGAAAAGGGAGAGAGCTATTGAGACTGATTGAGAGAGAGAGTGAGAAGGGCGAATTACCTTATAGAAATTTTATGTTTAAAATTAAAATTTCGTTAAGAGAATTTATGAAATATTAGTATTATATATTTTATTATATTCCTGACATATCTTACTTTATCCTTCCCTAGTCTCGAAAATCTAAATTTTTAGATTTGTATAAATATGAACAATACTTAAAAATTAGTTTGCCAAAGAAGTTTCACTTCTGACATGTGTACTTTGTAAGCACGCCTTTTTTTTATTTTATTATAAAATAACCAATCACAAGCCATTATTCTATTATTTATAATTTAACAACTAAACGTCAAATGAAAAAATCACCTTTAATATCAATCTCCGAGTACATATTCCTGAGATCATGCATTACACAGTCCAGATATAGTTCGCCTGTTCCCAATATAACATGTTCACCGCTTTCTTCCACTCTTGTTGAAAGTACTGGGTAAGATTTGTTTACCTAAAAGTAGTTTTCTAAGAGTTGTAAATTTTTTTAATCATAAATAATATAAAATAATCCTTATAAAATTATAATTCAAAATGAACTAAAAATATTGCAAAAACTATATATGGTCTTAATAAACAGTTGTGATAATATTGTGTATTAACTAAATCATTGAATATGTAATTTTTAATTCATAAAAATCACACTTTATTTCAAAAATTACAATGTATCAAACATGTAATTTTTTTACACATCATATTGGACATCATGAATATACAGATAGATTTTAAAAAGTAACCGTAATAACTTACTTTCCTCAACCCATCAAGCATCTTCGGCAGCTCCGAAGGGTTGACAGGTTCCACAGCTATTTTAACAATGGCTTGAGTGTTGAACCTCAAGGGTCTGAAGGTATGAAGTTCCTCCTCCTCGTCAGCTGAGACAAGGGTACACGTCTTCACTATGGGCTGGTCGATACCTTCGATGAGCGCCCAGCATCCTGCAGGTACTCTGTTTAGTTCTACCTACAAAAGTAAAAATTATAATATACGGTTATCTGTAGCAATAGAACACCTTAGGATAAATACTTTGCGACAGGTGTGGCTGGTTAAAATAAAATTTGCTGATGCATAATATATACAAAAGATTGGCGAAGAGATTATTGCCTACGCCTTTGATATGAGATCTGGCAGTAATCTAAATTATTGGAAATATTATTTTTACGTTAAAAGTATACTAAATAAATACATTTTGACTTTTAGCAACATAATATTGTAGTTTTTAAACTATATTGTAACCCGAGATTAACTTTCAGTTTTTATCCGATTAAAAACTTATTTTTACAGCATTCACTTAATGCGTTTTTTATTCGTACACGAGTGAAATCAAAATATGGGATATTTTGAGTTATCGTGTTACTACATAAATAGCACTTTTCATTCGCAATACTTTTCAGTTTTTCACATCACTTACCTTATATCTGGCTTCAAAAATCCAAAGCCGTCCAACGTTCATCATCCTAGAATCTTCTTCATCTTGTGTACTGTAGTTTTCACCTAACACCCGGACCGTCTGCCCCGCGTATAACGTGCCAGACATTATTCTGGCAAGTACCTATAAATTGTACGAAAGTAACAATTTTGGTGCAACAGTTCTTTCTATACATAAAAAAAGGATATAATATGTATTTGATATTACAAGTTATACACACACACATCAATTAAAATAGAAGATAGAAATTAGAAATTAAAAAAAAATTGTATGGAAAACACATAAGCGTTCAAGTATTACGTCCCGCAATTTTTGGAGATTATTGACCCCATGTAACGCGCCGTAACGTTTTTCTGTACCCAAGTACTGTGCCCAAGTGTAGTAAAACGTTTCGTGACCACCTAGTGAGTCTTTATACCAAAAACCATTACGTTACCATTATGTGGTGTAAAGTACTGGAAAGGGGCATCGCCCCGCATCGTAACGTTTTATAAAAGGACCCCCCCCCAAATTCGTTTCGTAATACTTAACGCTCCCTAAGGAACTTAAAAGTAAAAACAAAATCGTAAAATTAAAAATAAATCTAAATAAAAACTCATTTAGAGCAAAAACCAAACTTACGATAAATATGAAGACTGTTATAAAATATATCAACATTCAAGTATTTTCAGAAGGCCCTTGTTCATAAACGAACAATTCCCTAACCAAATTGAATTAAAATCGCACAAAAAATATAATATTGGAAACTCACCAAAAAGAATGTGCAATCATCAGTCGGATACATCTTAGTCGTATGAGCGACGAGTCGACCTGACTGATCACAATTGAGCATGTCATCGTATAACGGACCAGAAGCGCCACGATAACAGTGAGCCACTTTACGCGGGGCAGCGTCCAACGGGGACGGCACATGGCGGGTCACCATATCCACGAAGCCGCTGTAATATTTAACTGGCTTAAGGAATTTCTATGCGAGTAAAGTCTTACAAGAAGTCTTATTACTCTTATAGTATTGTGGCCTTTCAGGTTCACAAGCATATATAAAAAAATATATAAAAAAATCAGTGGCGCTACAACCTCTTTAGGTCTGGGCCTCAGATTTCTGAATCATTATCATTTTCAATCACACGCCGTCGACTTTTTCGGTCTAAGGCAAGCCGGTTTCCTCACGATGTTTTCCTTCACCGTTCGAACGAATGTTAAATGCGCACATAGAAAGAAAGTCTTTTGGTGCACAGCCGGGGATCGAACCAACGACCTCAGGGATGAGAGTCGCACGCTGGAGCCACTTGGCCAACACTGTTCTCACACGCATATATAGTCCGAAGAAAATCTTATAAGCTTTTCGCCCCTTCTGTAACACTCGTCACTTAACTTGTCAGTTTTGCAATTGTTTTTAGAGACACTAGAACCACTACTCATTTGATGACTCAGGCTTATATATTAAATCAATTTAAATCCTTCAAAGTCACGACTTTGCTAAGTATGACTCCCGTGTGTCAAATCCAACATGAGAGGAGAAGCCTAAGTTTTTAATAGTTAGTCAAATTCAGAAAACTCACCAAAAATCACCAAAGAACCGACTGCATACAAGTCGCAATAATGGACGCACATTTAATTTGGACTCTTGCTTGGTCAATTTGATACCTAACTCCGCTAATACATCTGGTAGCGTGGTGTCTACATCTCCTACCACCTGAAAAGCAAATATTTTATAAAGATGGTGTTACATACATCTGGTCAGATCAGAATTAATTACAGTAAAATCTCTTTATTCGCGGGGTATATGTTCTATAAATATGCCGCGAATACAGAAACCGTGAATACAGAATGGTCATTTATATGGGTTTATAGGGTTACGTTCTTAGGTGCCAAAATAAAAAACACAAATATATAAGAAAATCAATTTTATTGATGTTATTGAACATTTTGATTATGTTATCATTATCCTCAGGCTTAGGCAATGGTTTAAAGAATTTTGTTATTTTCTCTTGCTTGGCAGTTTTTAATAGCTCCTTCAATTCAGACTGATACTCAGCAGTCGCATTAGCAATTTGCCTCTTAAAATTAAGACTTCGTTCCATAGATGGATCAATGTTCAAAAAGAAATCGCAAAGCCCATTTGCAAGATTTTTCAGAGAACCCATCTCGTCCTATTCCATTTGCAATTTTGGCTATGTTTGCAGACAAAGTTTGAACTTGCACGGATTCTTCGTCATTTTCCGCAGTCAGAGCAGGCCATAGTTTTTTCCAGCATGACTTCAATGTGTGTGGTTTCAGTTCTTCCAATGATTCTTTTATGTTTACGACGCATTTTGCTATGTCAAATTTCTTCCAGCATTCCATAACATTCATATCAGGATTACATTCCATATTATCTATATGATATTGCGTTTAACACCTATTGGAATTTTGTATGAAATTTTAGATCCGCGATTTTTTTTGCCGCGAATAAAGAAATTGGGTTGCATTTTTTTAATCCGCGAATAGTGAAAACGCGAATGAAGGAAGCGCGAATAGGGAGCTTTTATCCTTCTAAAATAATTTAAATAATATTACAGCTGTTCATAAACATCCTAACTATATTTTCCCTCAATAGTTTTAGGAAGGGCCCCAATCGCTATCTTGTTATAATTTGTTTGAGACCTAATTCACTTAAAGTTAATAATCGGTAAGATTATATGTTATGATAGTACCACACTACATACTTAAACAACAGTGACAGACTGTACTCTGTTGTTGTTATTTGAGACAACATAGATAACCGTTATTCAGTAATCAGTATGCAAGCATATTAGAATATTATGATTTTACTACTACACCTTTGTCGAGAAAAGTTATAGAACATGTAATTCATGTACACATAAATTCACATTAAAATATTTTACCTGTGCGAATATTTTATACAATGGCTCCAAAATAAATTCCACAAAACTTCTCTGTGCAGAAGAGTGTGGTTGTTTCTTGCTGAACCGCCTTGTTTTGGCATTAAAGTAAACATCTCCCCATAGCCAAGCTGCCATATCTGAAGCTCTTAGGCCACTTGAACTATGTGTATTAGCATACATTGCGGCAAATGACTCCAATGTAAAACAGACATCGTAGAGTGAAGATGCAAAGCAGACGTTTCCTAGAATTTTTAGGAAATTACATATTACACAAATATAATTATGTTTTTTTATATAGTCCGGAATAGCAAGGCAAAGCAATCTATAATAACAATGTATGCTTCCTGTAGGGTAGGTGTGTTTCCCATGCAATCACCATTGCTAAATGATATATAAAGATTAATATAATACAGAGAAACATATCAAGAATATGTAGGATAGATGTTAAGCTATACTTACCCAACAAAGGCGAAAAGACAGTCACAGGTTCATCAGGATTATCTTGCGAGTGAGTGGTTTCACAAACTGAGTTCAGCTCGTCAATAATATGTCTCAATTTATAATAAGCATCTGCTGGGGGAAGTTTGAGTTCCAAAATCAATCTGTCAATTTTGTTGATACAAATCGTAAGTGGAACTCGTTCTTGTACCGCATGACGGAGTAATCGTTCAGTATTTAGCATTATGCCTTCAGCAGCATCAACAAATAGAATGGCACCTGTATAACAACATTCAGATATGAAATGATTCTTGGTGGATTTAACTATCTCTACTTATGAAAACTGGTAATGATAATATGTTTTATAGTCAGTTATAAAGTCAAAACTATATATTTAAGTAACAATTAAATCATATTCAATTACCATCAGAAATTCTTAAAGCCGCAGTTACTTCGTCACTAAAATTAACATGTCCTGGGGTATCCATGATATTCAGCAAATGGGATTTTCCCTTTATGTCCTTTAAAAGGAGTGTCACAGGCATTGATTTTATGGACACCCCCCTTTCCTGCTCCACAAACAGAGTGTCTGTATATCTCATTGGTATGGTTGTATCATTATTAATTGTGTCAGGGTGTGTTTGACGCATTAAACAGTCAACAAATGACGTTTTTCCTGTAATTATTAAAAACATGATAAATATATATTTTTAGGATAATAATACTTGAAATTCTTCATTTGTCTTTCAAAAGTAGTATAATTCATAAACATACTAGAAAGCTCAATAATTACAGCTAGCAATAATTTATTTCTTGTTATATTACACAATAGTACTTTGGACAAAACATTCCATAGCTTACTGCAAAAAGAATTTTTATGACCAAGAAGACAATATGATGCTATAATAGTTTAGTTTTCAAGCATAGTACAGAAACAATCCTCATCTTTGTATTATATTAATGTAGGATAACAAGCAAGTTGTATATACTTAGTTTATGTAATACCATTATGTAAATGTCCCATCAGGGTGATATTTCTCATTAAATTTGTATTATCAAGCATATCAGCCAAATACTCCATATCATATACAGTGTGTGGCAACTGTTGCTCTTGGAGTTGAAACTTTTTATGTTTAACTGGCTCAATCAGTGGCTTGTCCAGGGCTTGGGTGTCTTCTTCTTGAACAACTGTTTCAACATCTGGACCATATACTTCAATGGCTTGTGGATAGTAGCTAAAATATCATAATTTAAGTGTATTGAAAATTTATAAAGTAAGTAAATGATAAATTATAATTGAGTACATAAAATACATTCAATAAATCATACATACAAAATTCATAAGATTAGTCAACTTTTTTTTTTACAAAAACGTGCATTGTTACAATGATCTATTTAGTAGACCGCACTGTTTACTGAAAAGACAAATGGAGAAGCTAAGGCAATAAAGATATTTTTATGTATTGGTAAGGAATAACTTTTTATAACCTAACATCATTTAGTATTGATAGTTGTAATTAAATACAAGTAAAAACATACCGTTTGTCCTCATGAAGGACGACAGACATAGGCGCCACTTCAGGCTCTGCATCAGCATCCTCGTCTTCCTCCATAGCCTCATCATCTGCCTCCCGATTATCACCCCCATATACACTCTGCTCATCTTCTGAGTCAGATTCTAAGTCCGGGCCGATATAGTTGCCGAACTCATCGTACAGTTCACCATCCATATTTTTAAGCTTTAAAATATCTCGATTAAAAGAACTTTTAATGATCTTTACAAAAAATATAAGAAAAGCTAAAAGGTTAGCTTAAAGCAAACCAAAACAAACGAATAATGATTGCAACGCCGCTATTTTGACACTAAAATTTATTGACTTTTGACAGTTTAGCATTCTTTGTCCACAGAGATCCTATCAAATTTGTGAATTTCAGCCAGTCTTCATCATAGTTGTTGAATTCAGAGAAAACTGATCTGTGAATTCTATTCTCTTTTATCTTTGGTTTGCTTATTTCTTTTCAATACAAAAAATGGCTGCTTTGCAACAAAATTTTTCAAAAATGATTTCAGCCCAGCTACGCAGTAAAGCAAACGACTTTTTAAACTCAAGGAAAAATGCTAATAATCTTGCCGATATCATACAATTGTTTGAGGTAAGCATATTTTATGTTTATAGTACTAAAAATAACATTGAAACTGCGTCATAGGTTAATCAATTTTAAATTATTTTTATTTTATATTTTTAGGCTGAAACTGAAAACTTTACATCCGTACTCCTTGCGATTGAAGTAATATTCACTGAGTTACTGAAAAGAGGTGACCTTTTACAAGTGGTCGTGCCATTAAAGCCAGCAGGTATGATGGTTTCTAGTCATTTTACATACACAATAATTATATTTTAAATAAGTTATTCACCTTTAAACCATTAAATTAAATCCATTAAATCTTATTCTTTTTTAAAGATCAATCTCCCGAAGCCCTATATAAGAAATGGCTGAATGAATGCTATGAGACAGCACTTACTCATGCTTTACAATGTGTAAAAAAAGGAAAAATAACTTCACGGCTCCAAGCCCTGGTTACTTTATGTAAGCTGATGCAGGCTGAGGGGAATTATCCTCTGGAGCCTTTGAATGGTTACTATTTTCCTTCAGTTAGATTGAAGGTAAGAACCAAAAATGTATGGTAGATATATATATATATAACTTAAATGGATTGTAATAACTTATACTGTTGGGGTTTAAATATTAAGAGTATGTGCAATTAGTTCCAACTGTATTGCAATGAGAAAAAAATAAATGTAACTTGGTCATTCTGGCAACTTAAGCACACCAAAGTTTAAAAAATTTACTTCAAAATTGTCAACAAGTGAGACTCCTATTGACTTCATTCATTTTATATATTTAATGAACAAATTTCTTACAGAATATATTTAATGTTTTGTTGGACTCTGAAATACCAATGTCTGCACCAATAACCCGTTTTCAAGAGTTCACTGAATACAGGGATGTGCAACAGTTTGGTCTAAAGGTCTTAACAACACTTGCATACCGCAAGTAAGTAGAACATAATTATCAAAAAAAGATCATATTATCACAAATTGTGTTCGTCTTGATGACTTTAAAGTAGTATATTAAAATGAAATTAATTGTTAATTGTCAATCTAACATGTGGAATTTGAAATTTTTTAGGTCTCCATCACATGTTTTTATACAGAATTATCTGGAGCTTTTAGATAAACTACTTGCATTGGAGATCCCAACAGAAGTAAAAAAAGCCAAGGGCAAGGAAGATGATAAAGAGGATAAAGTTCTTTGCAGTAGTAATGGTAAAGCTTTTACATATTTACTAATCTAAAAATATAATGTTAATCCTATGTTTCTCTGATACAGTTGGCTGTAACAGAAACAGTTTGTCTTAGTCAAACATTCAAGTTTGACTTTGGGAAAATTTTACCCATTATGATACTAGCAAACCAATTGTCATACTAGTTTTTACATTGGATTCTAAAGAAATTATGTTTTAGTAAGTTAAATATTTTTAAAAACCGTCTTTAATTTACACACCATCAACTAATTATCCTTACTATAACAGGTAAACAATTCCCATTCAGTCCAGTATCATGCAAGCGGTATGCAAATCGTTGCTGGGGATTTGCTTGTCAGTGGTCTCTGTGTGAAGACCCAAAGACACACAGACGAGCCCTAATGCTGTTAGTAGAGAGACTCATGCCATTGTTAAATAAGCCACAGCTTGCTACTGACATGCTCTGTGACAGTTTGGATGCCGGTAAGTAGATATAAATAGTTATAGATGTTGGGTCATATTAATTTTGAATAATTGTCTCAAAGGGGCCGTTCAAGTATTACGTAACCCCCCCTGGGTTGATTTTCTTATTTGATGATTACGTCAACAGTAATTACTTACTGTTTTACACATATAACCCACACATTGCTTATGCTTATAAACGAAATGCATTTTGTTTTGATTCTACAAAAAATTAATATGTCTATGCACTATTATTTTTGAGAGTTTTGCTTACTTTTGCTGACGAGAGGAGGGAGAGGGGATAAATTGCAGTAAATCTGCTTACGTAATACTTGAACGGTCCCATAGTGATAAAAATAATAGATTATATTATAGAATTTATAAAGCCGAAACTGTCAAGGAATGATCTGTTCAATAGTTTACAACTCATTATCCCTCTTCACATAAAGTCTCATTACATGTTCTTACTAGCAATAATCTGTTTCATACAGTTAAATTAATTCAAGTCTGTTAATGAAAGATATAATTTAGGTACCATATTTAAAATATTTATAAGAAAATTTTATATTTATTTAAGTAGTATATCTGACATGGAACTTTCATGGTTTAACAATTTTAATTTTGTAAGATTTTTTATTTCACCAATATTACAGTCTAACAAATTCCAGGTGGTCCTATCAGCATGTTAGGTCTCCAGGGTGTGTTAGAGTTGGTCCGTCACCACAATATCTCATACCCGGATATATATGACCGGCTCTATGCTATGTTTGAACCTGAAATGTTCGCCACGCGCTATAAAAAGCGACTGATCCATTTGGCGGACATATTCCTCAGTTCTACGTAAGTTATTGGCTTGCAAGATTATACAAAAATTATTAAAACTGTCGTCTACTTAAAAAAACATGTGTGTGTACTTATTTACACACGTTAGAAGTTATACTTCTTTGGCGTAACAAGATAAAAATCTTTTTAAATTTTTAATCTTTTGCCTTATTCTACGTTTGTTTGAAAAAACTACACTAACAATAGAAACGTATGTAGGTAATAAAGATTACTTAAATATCAAAAAAAATATTTCTACATAATTAAAGCAATGGACATTTTATATTTTAAAATGTTGACTATGCTAACTTCAAGGTGTCGATTTTCTTGTGACGGTGTGCGGGTGTCGGTTTTTTGTGACGGTGTGTGCGCGCATCGTAAAAATTTACTCTCATCATCCTAACGCGCCAAAAGAAGTATAACTTCAAAAATGCTTTTACTTTTATAAGAAATTATGACCGATCAACCACTTCATGTAATGAGGTTTTAGAAACATATATTATTTTCCAGACATTTACCAGAAAGTCTTGTTGCGGCATTCGCAAAGCGCATTTCACGCTTAGCACTCGTGGCTTCACCCGACGACGCCCGTAGTTTGTTGCAAATCGTCGCTAATTTACTTCTTCGGCATCCAGCGCTTAAGAGGATGATCTGCTCTGAAGATTCGCCAGCTATCAGTAAGTATCTTCTATAAGTAAGAAGATTTCATTACATTCGTACATTTTCTAGTCCTAACATGATCATTTGATGAGCTTTGCTTGGCGATTAACGGCTGATACTTATTTGAAAGCTAAGGATCTAACTATAAACAAGACTGATTAAAATTAATTTATACTCTGATCTTTAGTTCCGTAGAATTCTGACATTTCATAAGTGTTGCTACTAAAAAAGTTCTCCACCGAAAAAGGGACAAATTTGACCCATTTGAAGGCAATAAAAAATAAAATGCGACGTATTTTCCACTATCTACAAAAAGGTAAATCTAAATATTTACTAAGTCAAGTGACCTAATACAGAAATAACAAATATTTCAATATCACGAACAATATATCGAATTAAATTTAATTATGTACTTTATTTTATTCTTTAGCTGGAATCACTGTCTACTAATTCCAGGTTTAGTAAACCTTTTTAAAAAATGAAATGTTATCTTTACTTTTGCGTTTTTTTACTGTTAGTGATGAAAAGGGACGTAATTATCACTCGCCGTAAAACCACTTTTAATGTGGACCACCACACTTAATAAAATTGATACATTCACTAACAAATTAAATGTATGAATAGACCCAGATGTTCAGACTCGTTATGAAATTGAAAAATGTGCTTAGTCAAAAGTTTTGTCATCTCTGACATGACAAAAAATTATAGCTGTCAGAATTCTGCGGAATTAAAAAACAGAGTATGGATCAAAATAAGTGGTCACCCAACCACCATAGAATTAAATTGTGAAATATGACAGATATACAGAAAATATTTTGACAGCTTTACCCTATTTTAAATTAATTGAAAGAGGATGCTAATTACGCAGCTTAGAATTGTCAGTCTCATCTTCTAACAATAAGTTGTCTGATATATTATTAGGTCAGTAATTTTTTAATCTTATGTAACGCAACCTAACTCGCATTGCTTACAAAACGTGCTTCGTGTACTGCACTTTTAATAGTGTATTGTTAAAAATGGCCTCCTCATAGTGCATGACATTTCAGTGTCAAACGACCCCTACGTAATGGAAGAGACAGGCGCGTCTCGTTCCCGTGCACTTGGTTCTTCATTATGGGAGGTCCGAGCTCTTTGTCGTCACTGGGCACCGGAAGTCACCAGTGCGGCTACACGCGTTCTGGCTTCGCATAATGCAAGGGATCCGCCACTTTCATTGGCCCCGCCTGAAGACAATGAGGTTGGTACATTTTCCCTTTATGTCACCAACTAATCAGCAGCTTTCAGCCAGCGACCTTGAATGGGTAAAGATTTATTTCAGTTTTTAAATAGATTCAAATCTTAGCAAGGCTGCCCTCTTACACCTTCTCTCTTCTTAATTTTCCCTGCTTTGTGTAGATGTAAATATTATAATTGTCATAGTAATATTAAACAGTATTGTTTTGAGAATTCAGGCATTAACTTTATGTTAATTATGATTATCTTTTTACTGAACTGTGTAAATCTTGGCAAGATATACACAGTTCCGAGAGTCCGTTCATCATATGAACTAGTCGGGTTTTAAATTTGTAATATGCAGTGATAGCAGCTTTCAATTAGTGTTGACGTAGGTCACGTGATTTCTTGTCGTTATGATTCTATCCCATAAAAACTTCAAAAGCCATTTTAGATTCAGTGTCTTTCGGTCATGCATATTATCAAAACTTATGATTTGAACTCAGAGGTATATAGAGAAAAATGTTTTTATTCCGGATAATCTAACAATTTCCGGGGTAGCATAGCAAAATAAAGTCTATAAGTAGGCTAAGTAAAGTCACATTAAGGAGAAACGAAGTTCGCGGGGGCAGCTAGTTTATTTATGTAATTTTATGGTTTAGTATAAGCTAGCCAATTTCTTTTTTCTAATTGACTTTCGTCTATTCCGAAATTCTGTCTTGGATATGAATGTATCGACAATATCTTTAAAAACAATTACAGCAATTTGAAGCGGAACTGAAGAAAAGATTCAAGACTATAGAAATCAACTTCATTCGGCCGGATGGAATGTGTATCCCAAGTGGAGAACGACTAATGACCTACTGGGATCTAACTGCTTAAAAAAAGGTATGATTTGGTTCAATATTTGTAAATCCCTCCGAAAAACAGTTCTTTTATTTGCAATAAATTTGAATTTGTGCCACCAGGGCTATTATTATAGTTTATTGATTGAAAGGTTTGGTACTGTATATTATTGAGTGGACATCATGTTAAACAACTTATGGTCGTAAGTGATCAGGAGCAAATGCCTCTTCATCTGCCATACCAAACAATAATATCGAAGTTTCATAGAGGTTTATTTTTATAATATGAGACCTGATAAAGTGGGCATAATAATTATTTATGATTCAAGATAGTTCGGGACAAAGTAACCTCATTAAATTAAAATTATTTTTTCTTATAAATTATAAAAACAATAGAATTTGATTTTTTTTATCTTGTTTATTTCCAAATTCCACTTATTCTGTGGTGCTTTGAAAATCCACTGATCGATTTATATTTGATCAGTAGATTTTAAAAGTCAAATGACCAAATATATTAATAAGATTTTCATATAACAGTGTAAAATTCGATTTTTGAACCACTAAAAATTTGTAATATTACAAAGTTACAAAAGGTTTTTAACAGTCAAAGGACAATAGTTGAATTGTCGTATTTATATTACGAAGATTTAGCGATTCAAAAATCTGAAAGAGTTGTACAATGAACAATAAGTTTTTAAAAATACCCATTTCATATGATTGTTTCGTTTTTGTGTCTATTTCTAAGCATTTTTATAAAAGGTAGTTCAACCCATCACCCAACATAATTAAAATAAGATTAATTAAATGTAGTGTTTTCATATTTAATACGTGTGTACTATCTGTATTTATTATATTTCTGTGATCGCGTTATGCTAATTTTTTAGAAAGGAATATGATTCCGTTATTTAGTTAAAATTGTGTTTTTTGCCATTTCCAATATATGGGTAGTTATCTGTTAAAATCTCGCTTTTTTTTATTTTTTTACCGACTTCAAGAAAACCGAAGCAGTCCGTTCGACTTATCACGATTGTTTGCCAATTCCTCTTATTGTTTTGTGCATTTAGAAATAAGAATATTATTTCAGTGTGATAGGAATATAGATAGTTAAGAATTAGGATTATTTCGTTGTTTTAAGGCACTAACATTTGCGATATATTTTGCACTGTTAAGTAGTATAAGCACCTAATCTTCTATATTTATAAAGCGGCTTGCGATATCTTTACTAGTTTTGTTTAACAATTACTAAATTGCTTTTATTTTGACAATATACGCACAATGATCATAATTATTCTGGTTTTGTTGAAAGTAGAAAATTGCGATCTTTATTTATAGTATGTTCTTTGATTGTATTTGAGAATATTTTTTTTTCTGTCAATACAAAAATCAAGTGCAGATAATTAGTCTATTATAATAAAGTTTTTAATTATCTTGTATATAAATAGACAATTCCAATAACTTACCACAATAAAAAAATCGCAGTGTAATCTTGACTATTTGAAATACGTTTATAGGACAATTTAAATGAAATTTAACGTAATATATTTTTATTGACCTTAATGTATTAGAACTATTTAAAACCTACGTAGAAAAATCGACGTATCTTAAAAGTGTGTCCACTACTAAGCGGGGAGATTAGAAAGGTATTATGGATGGAGTTTAATACATCCGTATAAAAGTATTGGAATTATCTATAATTTAAATGTTATAATAATCTTCCAGTGAATCTTAATGTAACCCTTCTCATTCCAGTCCCTTTTTTTTCTTTTACTTTATTGAAATGTGACTATAAGATTAAGATGTGTGTATTTTGAAAATTACATAATTATTGGATTATATAATCCCAATTGCTTGATGTGTCCACACAACTGCCAATAGTAAACACGTTTATACTGTCGATTGTCTTGTCTTACCGGAATGAATTTTATTAATAGAAATAACCGCCATATTATTATTTGTGCCTCGCAGTTAAGATCACAGGGTGCGGAATCTGAATTAAGTTTGGGATAATAGAAAAAAGCGTACTATATTTATAACTTTCGTCTGAATTCAGATCCTGTATAATTAAAAAAACCTACCCAGTACCATTGTGCCACACTTTTATATGACATACAAATATCTATGTATATAGCAAAAGAAATATAATATTGTTAGAAAAAACTACTAGATTTGATAACAAGATAAAAATATCATTGAAATAGAGATGGAAATATGCATTCCAGTGTTTTTTGGTACTTTGGCAAAAGAATCTCACTGTAGTGGTACCGGAAACAGAATTTATTTACCTATTTCATTGAGAGTTTCTTTTCTGTCAAAGTTTATAGTCTAGGGATGTGAAAAAATAATCGATTATTTAAAAAATCGATTATTTTTTTAAGAAAAAACGATTTTTTATGCAGAATGTCACATCCCTAGTTTATACTTTTGCAAAACAGTTATCAAGATAATGCAGTACTTGTAAAAATTAATACGTCGAAGTGCACCATTTTCTTAAGCATTCACTTCTCTTTTCATCGTTGACATTTAAACAAAATTTGACAGAAAGACTAGTTAAGTGGTGCACTTAGACCGATTTAGTTTGTCTAGATTTCTCCGACTTTTTAATGGTACCAATACAAAATTGTAATCGCTCCGCACCTGTGATGTGATTTATGTAACAAATTACTGTTAGATATATTATATGTTCGATTATGTTAAATAAATTATGTTTAAAATAAAATCGTTTTATTTAATAAACACCTCAATAAAGAACATATTTATTTATAAATTTAATATTTTCGGCTCATTTAGAACGAATAAATATGACAATAACTAAACTTATTTATATAATAAATAACCTTTGAGTCTTTTAAAACCGGCTTGTGCTGCACGCATTTTTGGAAATACATTTAGCGCCGACAGACAGTTGACTCTTTGATCCATTTTATCCCCAAAACGTATATATACAAAGTGGAAACTTAACAATTTATAATCGCCAGAAGTCACGACTCATGATACAAAAAATTGGCTTTTATACATTTCCCATTTGGACCTCGTCTTTCAAAATATTTACAGTTAAAAATAATATATAATAATAGGCTTCCAGACTCTAGGCACTTGGGTGCAAAGGATACTGTCAATAATAACTATAAATTCGTAATATTAATCCTACTATTGCCATAAAGTTTAAAATCGTTTTACGTATTAACAAGTCCGAGTATTAAAATAGGTTTGGAAGTATAAATTATGAGCAAATACTCTATTCGGTTTTCATATAAGTCAATCGTGGTCACTTCCAAGTGTCCAAAAAATATCATATTACATATAACATAAACCAATTCATCGGAACCGTAAAATACCGTCACGTTTGCATTATTTCTTCTTGACTATCACTGGTTGACTTCGCGTGACAGCATGTGATCTGAGGGCTGTCCTCTCTTTCTACTTTCTCTGTTTCCGTCTCATGGATCACAGCTTTTGTATCTTGACTAGAACAACAAGTATCCGGCGGAGACTCCTTACAGCAGCCCTGTCGCTCTGTTTGTAATAACTGCGCTTCAACACTAGAATTTTCTTTGTGACAACTTTGTTTTTTCGCTCTGGCAACTTTGGACGGACACCGTTTGGCTCCATAGTAGCAAGTATTAGATCGATCTGTCGAGGTAGAGGCTGGGAAGTAGTGTGAGGGCTGTATGCAGGTGCGGGTTTGACAGATGAAATTATCAGACTCTGTGCTAGATCCGGAGTTTAGTAGCGGTGGGGTTGTGCTTTCGGCTGAAAAAAAAAAAACAAGGTAAAAACAGCGGTACTTATAATATATTTTTCCCGCTACACAGCTAACTACTTTTTCATTCTAAAGTGAAATATATATACATCTAAAATTGTTACTAGAAAAGCGGTACCAGATTATCACGAACTGGATAAATATCCTTTCATTTTGCATGCTTAGGCGAAATAATTTATACATGCTAAAATTTTGCTTTAACTTCCCTAACTCAAAACTATTGCTAAAGCTAATGAAAGCTGCTCATATACATGTGATATTTGGAACACGATTTCTATAGAAATTGACAACCGTTAAATAGCTTTCTAGAAATAATCTACGACTCGTTGATATTACGACTGATATTTGAGCTACATAACTCGCATTCTGACTATCTATGTTATTTAAAGCATAAATTAAAGAAGAAGCAACATGTGGCAAAAGGGAATCGAGGACTAGAGGAAATATTACTCAGGAAGGTGTGTAGGGTTCAGACGACAGCGGTGTGCTGGCCTGCTGCAGCTCTATCGCGTCCATCTGTTTGCACAACTTGCCCTCGCATTTCTCCCAGCTGCATTTCTCCTTGTTGCACCGGTCTGGGACATATAGGGATAGGGGGGATAGGAAATATAGTTACCAACGTAATGCAAGCAATTCGTCTATTAAAGGTTGAATTTTTGTTTAATTATTTATGTGTGAATCTGTCTGACATGACCTAAGAAATGTGTATTATGTTAGAATTTTAAATCGCTGTTTACATTACATAGAAGTTTTAAACATAGAAAGTTTACCTGTGGATAATCTGTCTCTATTCATCCCAGTGTAAACACAATTTGACAGTAAAAGACAAAAAGGTGTTAGACCAATTTAGTTTTTATGAATAAGGCACTAAGAAGAAACCCGTATTGTAAATAATACCTGTATCATCACATTCAGGAGTACAGATAACCATTCGCTTGGTCCCGAAACATTGCATCTGTAGCATTGTTAGCTTCGGTCCGAAAAGGAAATAGCCTGAAAAAGATTAAGATCATATAACCGCCTTCATGACCCATCGGTCTATTGGCTTTGCAGAGTGCTTAAAGCTACACGTATAAATAGGAATGGTGCTGGGGTATAAATCAGAGACGAAAATTAGAGAGAACTATTACTTCCGTGTGTCAGAAACGTAATGGAGTCAGTCTAGTCTCGAATGAATTTTACCATTAATATTACTCTAATTCATCCGTGTGTGTCAATATGTACACTGCCTGATGTTAGCGATTCGCACCTAATAATACTTTTGTAAGTCCTGACTCAAATCGTAAAATGATTTAAAAACAAGAAGTCAAAAAGCTCCTTAAAACAGATGTAGACAACTTTCAGAAGCTATAAAAAAGATTAACGTACAATAAACGATTTATTAAAAACTAAGTTTATATATTGCAGCGTAATTCATTTTGAGATACAATTATCAGACAAATTTAATCGCTAAATAATTTGCCAGCACCAGTTAGATTTTTAACAAATTGACATATAAATCCACAGACTCACCTAGCATCATGCCAAGCACCACAGCGAGTATTAACTGAACGTTATAGACCATAACGACTAACATGAGCAGATAGCCAACCACGTTGTGTACCAGAAAGATGGCAGTCTGGTGCAAATTTACTAAAGTCCTGTGGAGATGCAACATTTCTCGGTTTAAAAATTATATATCCAACCCTTCTACCAACTTCCTTCAGTTATTGTTTGTGTGGGTTTATCGCGAGAAAGTTGAGGACAGACGCGACCGAGGGCTTGTTAGATATACCTATGCTGTCGCTGGCTTTCGTAGTCATTATCAAGCTCCAGAACTCAATCATATATCTCTCAAATCCGATTACCACAAAAGTCTATTCATTTTTTCGAGTTAAACACTTACAATAACAATTTGTAAAAGAATTTTCAAAATTGTGTCGGTAGAACCAGAGATTACCCCTTACCACGACAAAGGGTTGTCAGATTCACATACTTTATCTCATCATATTAAAATAGAATATGTTGCTTATCTTACATAGTTGGATTAATCTTTGCTTAGCTTATCTTAGCTGAATAAGATAGTAAAATCGTGCATTTGAAACATCCTTACCTAAGTCTAAAAGAGTACCACCGACTGACTTGCCCGGTACTTGCGTTTCTACTCGTTGTTGGCTCCATCGGATTACCTTGCTCTCTGAAAAAATATTCAGTGTAAGCTCAATAATTTACACTATCTAGACAATAACACCATACAACCAATATTATTTATTATAAACCAGGATGATGTGAAATTTTATTAAAGTAGTCTACCAATCGTACAATAATCGTACCATATCTTTAGATATTTTTCTTATGTGAACTAATAATGATCAAATAACTTTATTTATTATATTAAAAGCTAAGTAACATACATTGGTCTTTTTTTAATCAAAAAAGAAACGAAATATTAATCAATAATAAAAAAATAAAATATGTATAGTGTACGAGTAAGTGGAGCCATTGTGTATTATAAACGGTTTTGCGAGTACATTTTGTTTGAGATATTTTTCATACAAGGAACGCATATAATTTCAATAGCATTTTTATCAAAGCTTAATTAAATAACAAATATTTACGTAAATGATAATAAGAAGGAATTGTAATCGATTAACCTTATCTCAGCTGGATAAAATGTGATTGTAAATTGTAATACCATTTCTGATTTCTAAGTTCCCGCGTAAATTTAGCCTTGAACTACTTACCACTTTCAAACATATAACGCACTTTACATAACATAAAAAATATTAAATATGACGCGATATTATTACTTTTTTTTTGCGTACAGTTGCGAAAAATGTAAATCACAATTAAATAGATATAAAGAATAAATTAGGCATGAAATATCCAGCAAGCTTTCTAAAACTTTAGTATTTCAATATCTCAATAATAAATTAACAATCCTAGTGTCATCTAACGATGTAGTTTTAAATCAGTATCGATTCGTAAAAACTTGGGAATTACGTGGTAACAGAATTGGTTTCGTAATCGCTATTTAATACGTAGTAAGCTTGCGTATACTCCTCCTCAAAATATCTCTAAGATAATTAGAGGAAATTACAAGATATTGATAAATTGCAGGATGTTTGTGTTATTTCGCAGTTTTCCTGCTCCACCCAAACTAAATGTAAATGTGCAATACAATACTGTCCTGTATGAAGGAATATAAAATTGAATACAAGGAAATGTTTAAGTATTTAATATCTTGTATAGACAACTTGAGTATGCCTCTGTGACATAGGTCAGATATAAAAAGTTTTAGATTGGCCCACAAGGGTTTGTTACTAAAATGATAATTACAATATGAATACATGATGTAGACATGCGTCTCGCTTGAAGGAACTTCGTACTTTCTACTACAATTATTGCATAAAATCACAATTTTTAATAGGTGTACCGTATTTTTTATCGAGTATCAAATGAAACAATTCGATCTAAAAGTCTGAACACATCCCGGATATCATTATAATTTTGAATTTAACTGAACTAAATTTTCTTATACTCAGTACTCGCGTAAATAAAAGACAATATTAAAGGGTGTATATTTGAACGATTGTTTTGACCTACCGTTCGCACAGAAGATTCCTTCGTTCATCGGAGCGGTATGGGTAAAGTTTCTTGTGAGCAGCGCGCTGCACCCGTGCTAAGTAAACCTAAAAATAAATAAAATAGCAATACTAACCTATTCGCATTCATACGTATACCTACTATATTTCATCAGTCGACCTGAAAGTTTTCGGTTGAAAAAATATGACGGTTTCAGAGGTAAAGAATATTATGTCAATCTCATGTTGCATTGTAGCGTTACGAGATTTTAGTCTTAATATAAGTACAAATCTACCAACGATTATATTCAAAGTTTTGATTAGATTTCTATGATACTTGGCCAAAGAGCCAATAATAGCCAGTATATTTCTAGCAAATAAGAAAGAAACACTGATGCACCAAAGACGTTCTTGTACCATTTTTAATTAAAACTATATAGTACCTTAGAAGCTTCAAATAGCAGCGATACAAAGAAGAGTACAATCCATGTAAGAGCAAAGGTCCATCGTGTGTTGATGTTTAGTCCGGAAAACAACAGCTCACCGACATCATAACCAAACCACATCCACATATGCATACACATGGCTTGACCTACAACATAATTTTATGAATATCAACCCTTAAGTGCACCCTCACATTAAATACTTCTGCATATACTTTCCCACAGTACAGTACTTTACAGTGCAGTTTTGGTGAAAATTTGAATGAAACTTTACACTTATATGACATTCCCTGGCTTAAATTTCTTATGAACTATTAACTCCTTCATGATTGTTTAAGCAACGAAAAAATTATGTTCACGATTTTAAAATAAGTACAAACTTGTTTTATACTATTTAGTTTAAAATTGTAATTTATCAGATATATATATATATATATATATAGTTTAGTTTATGTTTTGCCATGTTTTTAGATAATTTTGTAGACTTTAAATTGTAAAAATGTATATACTTTCACTTAAGGAAATAAGTTTTTAAATGACTAAGTTTTCTTTGCTTATTCAATCATATTCTACTGACTGACTGACTGACTACTGCCAACTATTGTACTTACTTCAAGTTACATGATATTTGATTAAGTATGAAAAGTAATATTTAATACTACCTGTAAATAAAGCCACTTACCACTAGTTAGGACTAAGTGTTCTTATGAATACTTAGAACCAATACAGTATGTACATTTTAATATGATAACAAAAATATTATACCTACTTGTTTTATTTGCACCTACTACCAATTATAGTTGAATGTTATAATAACATATGTGAACAATGAGAGTAATTAGATTGTTAGCTAAACAATCTTACTTTTTATTTTAAACAAAACAATACTTGACACTAAATATAGAAATGAACATACAGCAACAATTGTCTCTTGAGTGAACTTAAGTTTTGTTTTTTTACTTATTACATATATTGAAACCATCAAAAAAAATAAGAAATTTCTCCAATAGATGTTAAAACAACAAACAAACTGACTATTGTCAGATAAGCTATCATAAACCCTCTTATGTATCACTATCAGTTTCAATTGTTAGAACATTTAAAACACATTTATATATATGTATGTACTTTACAGAATTGTGTCTGTATAGTTTATATATGTTACTGGGCCATGTCAGCATTAAGGGATTGTATGTCAAAAAATAACAGCTTAAATTTATGTTCATTTATAGAAAATGATTATAGTTTTCCATATTTTATATTAGTTTTTAGGTATTATAAATATAAAAATACTTAAACGCATTATCATTTATCATAATCACTCACAACACAACTTGCAAGAGCTTCGATTTCACCTATTTACTTAACTATTAGCGAAAAAAATGAAAGCTTACCTTTATTATTAGATCAGAATTTAAAAATCGTACAAGTACTGCATCTTTTATCAACCACGAAATTGGATCATTACAATTTACATCCTTATCAAGTTAGAATGTAATTTATAGTTGCAGAATATATAATTTATTATCAGGAATACACGATTAATCCGATGTCCAAATCCCAGAAAACTTATATAACGACACTACACACGTTGCTTAACCCACCAAGTTAGTAGGTGAATGCTAAAACTAAATTGATTGCTATTTTATTTTGATTAATTAATTGCGGTGGATGTAATTATGTAGTTAATAGTTTACCGAAAGTATCAATTTTGAATTGAAGTATGAACTATACTCGAACTTCAAAGTTAAACATGATTGTCATTTGTCAAATTGTCAAGAGTCAATAGTAGCCTATCATACGACGTACTAGTTTTTTGACTAATGGCGACTGTACATATTCGCCGAGATATCCGAGGGTAAAGGCCCATTTAGATGGAGAGAGTTTCTCGCCTCGAAGGTACGATTATCAAAAGAATATAAAAAACTTTATTTTCTTTCTTCGTCTAAACATTCACACCTCTTGCTCTTCCACTTTAGCGACAATTGCCTCGCAATGGAAAATTTATTATGTCCGTGTAAACAGAATTTCAAAAGCAAAAATTGTATTTCTAGGTTTTGTGCCAGTTGTTACCATGAGTGCAGTGCGTGAGGGTGTTTTAATTATATCTGCTCTTCTAAGGCAAGAATAAGTTAAACGTAAATGGAAAAAAAGGGTGCGTGTACTTATGTACGCGCGTAAGAAGTTATACTTCTTTGGCATTATTAAAAATAGTTTTTGATTGCATGCAAATAATTAATTACAATTAAATAATCAAAGACTGGAAAAGGAGTCTATAATGACTCAATGTCAATAAAGTTCAGTTTACATTTGAAAAATTAAATAAATAAATTATTATTATTATTCTCTTACATTAAGTGTAACATAAATTCTATTATTATTCGAATGTTGTTTTTAAATTATGTCCAATGCCGCAGCATCTTCCGTGGGCAACTTCATTCTGTTAATTTTGTGTCACGGTGCGCGCGCATCGTAAAATTTCACTCTCATCAATTTTTCATAACGCGCCTAAAGAAGTGTAACCTCAAAAACTATAAGTTGATTTAAAAAATTGACAGCTAGGAGAAACAATTTTGGAGCATCTAACACATTGTGCCTTGAATTGCAATTTAGGCACGTAAATATTTTCAGCCCCAGCTCCAGTCCCTAAACACACAATTCTCTCATAAATGCATTAAGGGCTGCATTTCTCGCATCACGGTTTTTATAGTTTTCATTTTCCGTGTTCCACAAACACTCATAACTTCTGTAAAGTTCAATGAACTTAATATTATCGGCAGCGCCAAATTTAAAGGATTTTTGTGTCCCCAATACTTTAGTAATCACTAAACTCGAATGAAAAATCTCGCACTCAAATCGGTTTAAACCGATGTGTATGATACTCGTATGAACATAAAAAAGTCATACGAGATCGTGTTTATACTAGTCGAGATTCTCGTAAGAAAGAATCTTCTTACTAAAAGTTCGATGTGTAAATAGACGCAGGTTATTATCGCCTAGCGATAAATCACTACCGAATCTCGTATGACATAATCGTAGATGAAAAATTTAGTTCTTGCCTGTATGTAAAGATTTTGATTCGATAACGCTATGACGATTATTTCTGGTGATAGTCGCGTACGATTTCTCGCACCAAAACGTGCGAGAAACTCTCTCCATCTAAATGGGCCTTTAGATTTAGTTACTTGAGTTTTCATACAGGTAAGATTTGGGATGATATTCAGAATCTTGCCATCTGAATCTTATCATCAAATCAATCTAAATCCAATCAATCCCTGTCCCTGTGTATGTCAAAATCGAATACATTTATAGCGTGTGGAATTCTGACTTGCATTCAGACTCGACTCTGTTACCATACCCTCAATCTGAGGGTACAAGGTACATGCACATTTCTACCTCACTTCGTTCACGATCGAAGTAAAAACGAAATTAGCATCTCGGCTAAGCCTAACAACAATTTTCCATAACCATTTTTTTTGCATTGTTAAAATTTTTTATTTCACAGACTAGGAAAACGATGAAACTGTATCATTGTGTACTAAAATATGATCATAAATCATAAATGTCAAAATTGGAAGTCATGTGCAAATCCATGGTAGAATAATGTGTAACGTTTTATCAAACCTGATATTAAAACAAACTTTTAACAGATAATTTAATATTTTAATTTAAAAAAATAACAAATTCCTTAATTTTAACAAATTCCTTACCCTACTTATTATACGATATCATTATTATTTAGTCAAGTTAGGATCTATAACTGATAAAGCCGCACCGACAAGGTGCAATGATCCTGTTATTAAGATTGATCTTTTTTCTTTATTATTAATACACATTAGCACATCTGAAACACATTCTAACACCACAACTTTCCTTGATTGCTTATTAATATTTTTCCAAATATTTGCGTGCATATTACATCGGGAAATCAGTTCATTATGTTCCACAATTGAATAATTGTCACTTTTGTTGCTAATTTCTTTATGCGCTATTGGAATAACAAAATAGACAGTATCAAAATGCATATGACTAAGCGGTTTCAATAAAACTTCAGCATTTCGGTCTCCTGTTGCGCTGAATATCAAATCCTTATTATGAAATCTGCAAGATAGTATAAAAAAAATATTCACTGTTTTTTTATTTTTTTATGTAATTGTGTAAAAGAAATTGGCAAATACAAAGGTAAAATATGTGAAAATATCTCAAACATATTTCTAGAATATTATCATATATTCTAGAAAGATTATTTAAAAGGTAATTTTTTTAAGGACTTATAGTCTATATTATATATACTGTCACTACGCATTAAGGTTCTGAGAGCCTTTCCCATTAGGGATAAATTAATATCATCATGAGGTTTTGAGACAAAATCACTTTACGAAATGGTCACGTGACCACGCGTGGGCTAATGTCATTCCTATACAAATTCGTCTCGCGCCAAAGTTACACCTGTCACAAAGTGATTTTGACTAAAGCCCATGTGCGGCCAACAGTGAACAGACTTGCAGACAATTGACAGTTAACACTGAGTACTGCAGTCTGCAGTCCTGCAAGTGCACTGTGCAGTGTCATTTCATAACAAGACTTTATTTGCGATGTATGAATAAAAGTGAAAATTATAAAGTAAAATCACAATAATTCTAGACAAAGTAGTTAAATTAGCTACTAACATACCACATGACCATGAATAATGCAACAAAAAAGAAACCCACAAAACTCGAAGAATTGACTAAGGAACAAATTCGTCAAGCAATCATAAAAAAACGAGAATGCAATGCAAAAGCTCAGCAAATAGTCGAAAGCTTATTAGAGAAGTGCATCAATGAAGCATACTTGCTTAAATGTCTACCGGATATTAACCAGAGTCATTTCGAAGACGTGATAGAAGAGCGAGCTATTATACACCTTTGCGGATTTCCACTGTGTCAAAAAGCAATTTCTCCGAAAGATATACCAAAACAAAAGTACAGAATTTCAATGAAAACAAACAAAGTCTATGATATAACTAGTCGTAAAAGTTTCTGCAGCAACATTTGTTATAAATCTGCTATGTACATAAAAAAACAAATGCTGACCAGTCCACTTTGGTTCAGAGAGTATGAAGAAGTTCCAAAATTTTATATTTTACCTGATGATACTATAAGTAGCCTCGGACAAGAAATTGATCTAAAGTTAATTGAGCAGATTGATCTTAACTCTGAATCAAAGCCATTTACATCTATTGATGAATTTACTACTGCTAGCCTATCAGAATTACAAATTAAAGACAAAAATAATACAGAAGATATTAAAGAATGTACAAGTGAAAAACCTATTAAAAAACCATTAGAAAAAAAATGTGTTACATCCCAGTTGAAGGACCAGAATGTACCAGAAAACAAGACAGACCCATTACCAAATAATTTATTAGCTATTAAGGATTCAAATATACATATTCAACTTCCTCCCACAACCAATATGATGGAGAGAAATAATCAATTACCAGTGCCAAACCCACTAAACATTATTGGTGAAATAATTGAAAAACCGGAAAAGAAAATTGATCCAATACTTATAAATGTACCAACAGAACTAAGAAAAGAGAAACTGAAACCTCAAGAGACTAAAGCCTTTTCAAAGAAACAGGTTTCAGTAACAGCAATAACAATTGAAGTTGAGAAGTGTTTAGCTGAATGGTTTACTTTGGATTCCCTCCTTTTTCTATTTGGAGAGGAAAAAGTAAAAGAATTAGTAGAAGATAAGGGAGAAATTATAAAAGAATATTTAAAAAACCAAGCACAAGGCATTTTTCACAAATCAAACTTGTATGATCAGTATCAAGCTCTTTGCCGAAAGTTAAATATGTTAGAATTAGAAGATAAGAAGTATGATGCTCAAATGTATGCAAAAGAAATGAAACCTTTGCCTGATTACAGAATTTTAAAGGAAGAAAGCAAAAAACTTCAGTTGAAGGTAAAAGCCTTCTTTGCTGGTGAAACTGAAATACCTGTCAATAATTCTACTACTGAAACAACTGAGGTTGTTAAAGCTGTGGAAGACAATGTTATACAGTTACCATTAGTGGATAGGAATGCACAAAATGCATTACGGCGAGGTATTGTGTGTCAACATCTAAATAAAGTATTGCCAGATTTATTGAGATCTCTAGGGTTATTGACATTATCTGTAAGTGCTGATGTGCGATTGCTTGTTAACACATTTCAATTAAAAGCAAATAACATAATGTTTAAACCAATACAGTGGACCCTAATAGCCATTATTTTTATAAAACTGTTATCGTTAAGGGATGGTAGGTTGGCATACTTATTGAAGCAATCAATGGCTTTTCAGCATATGCAATTATTATTATTGAGTTATCAACAAGATGGAGGTTACTTAGATAGATTGGTATTGTGGCTAACTGATGTTGATAGATTATTAGATGTAAGTAATAAGCAATTGACTATTTAGACAGCCACAAATTAGAAATTTGAAAATTAATTAAGTGCTCTATTCATTTGTCTATAACATACATAAGTACTGAAAAGCTGTGCAACATAGTAGTATTATTTTTTATTATGTTAATTACTGCCTTTTTTCTAACTTTGTTACCACTATAACTGACTAGGGTAAAAAAATCATGATTTTATATTAACTAATTTGCCTACGTTTTTGATGGCATGAAGTCAAACAGGACTGTTCATCAAATTCAAAGGGAAATAACCAACCCAGATTTAATTTAAAAAATGCTTTTTATACTTGTTATGGAATAGAAACAGACAAACAAGAAAGGCAATTAAATTTCTCATTCTATATAGACTGTACATCAGTACTACGGCTTTGTCACATACGTAAAATATAATATACCTGCAGTTTTCCGTAAACCATTTAGCACATATTTCCATGGATTCTTTTGTATGAGCCCCATCAAGATATACACAACCATAATCTGTTTCAATAACCTGATACCTCCCAGGCCACTTGCAATCCCGCAAGCCAATCACAGTTTCCTTTGACAAGCTACTGATTAATAAATCTGTATTTTGATTTTTGTTGTCTATATTATTTTTATCTTTAGTTCTTATTCTCATCCATGCATGAGCCAGTTGAATAGATAATGATGCATTCATCCTATAAGCTTCTAATTCTATGGATAGACGAAGACCATTTTGAAATGCATATGTACTATAATTGGGAACTTTGGTAAGAGGACACTGAAAAATAAAAAATAAATTGTCTCATCAAAATACAACTGTTTGGTTACGGTCAAACTCCTAGATTTAATTATGAGTTTGTGATTTATTATTTATTAAAATAAGTATTTTTGTTAATTATAATTGCATGTATTGATCTTCGCTAGGATATGTGAGAAACAGAAATAATGATTAGGTTTTCGTAGGAATTCAAAATCAAAATACAATTTATTTGTATAGGCGATTTTTGTATACGTATACACGTCAATTAAAATAAATTTCTCCATATTTACTACCTTTTCTCAAAAGATGGATGTAGATTGGCCTACATCTGACTTATACACAGTTTGTGTAGGTAATGCATGGCACGCTATTGCTGTTTAAGAAGCCACGTAGGCGCAATGATATTTTTCAAATTTAAATAAAACTATAGTTACTTGAAATTCAAAAGCTTTCCGTCTCAGTACATCCATAGCATCAGTTTCTTGATGTACCGTGTAAGCTAAACATCCCGGTTTCATAATACCGGCTTTAGCCAATGCTATTTCTGGTAGTGTAGTACCCAGTATGGCAGTGTGATCTAGTCCCAGTGCTGTTATGCCAATAACTGGAACTTTTCTAGAACAAAATTACACATTGGGAACAAAGATAATATATATATATTAAAAAACTTGAAAAGATTCAAAACGACTTTATAAATGTATCTCCTAAACGACCTATAACAAGTTTAATACTTTGTTTTAGAACTTAAGCAGGGTCCACACTATGCCGGGGTAGGCCGGGCGGGCTGACCCGGGCGGCCTAAGCCGCGTTGATGTAGACGCCCCGGGCGGCTTTGCCGGGTTAGAAAATGCCGGCCCGGGCCGTGCCGATCCCAACCCGCATAAAGTAGGTACAGATCAAAGGAAGCCTAGCCGAGCCGAACAAAAATATAGAATGGGGACGTGCCGAGCGCCCCGAGCGGCTTCAGTTACAATTAAACCTCCGACCGAAGCAGACGAATTATTTTATTTTCGATTCAGTTTGTTTAAGTAGGGTTTTTTATTGTTCATTTTAAGTACTCTTCAACTAAATCACCAGTCTTGGTGTTGAAACTAAATAATGTAGGTAGAAATAGCCCGGTTGGCTTCGTTTTCAGTGTGGACGTCGTGCCGGCCCGAACGTACCCGCCCGGCTTAGCCCACCCGGGTCAACCCTCCCGGCCGCGGCATAGTGTGGACCCTGCTTTATAAATAAATACATATATATAAAGACGCGTGTGAACGTTGTAACACCTATGCAAAATCTCAGTTTTGTATCGCGCAGCCCGGACCTACAACGACCACTATTTACGCCTTGACTTGTTTTTAAGCTATCGCGGAATATAGTTAAAAGGAGTATTAAGAATATCCATAGCGCTAAATCACCTGAATCATGAGCACACACTACATACACACTACATAGGCGAATTAGGTATTACTTTGTTAAATGTATTTTATAGATTATTTTTTGGTAAATGTTTAAACCTTTTTGTATGTATTATGTATTTCAACTTTGGCTATATCTTTAGTACAATTGATTTTTGTTATATACTCTATGAGAAAACAGATATGATAATTTTTTTATATTGTGATTTACCGCCATTTTATTATTACTGTACCTACTTGCTAAAAGTGTAATATAGTAATATTTAAATCATAATATTTGTACACTGTGTCTTTGTTTTAGAATTGGTGCGTTTGGCCTTGAGTTTCAGGGTTCGATTCCCGGAGAAACAGATTTGATGGGTAAAACACAACTAATTTTCCATAAAGAAAATGATAATTTAAAAAATACAGAAATCTCTGTTGTTCGTCTTATTTCGATAAATACAAATATTGAAATAAGTTTTTACCTTATTATATTAGTATAGTCAACAATACCGCCAATGCCGACCTCCACAACCGCGACATCTACTTTCTCTTCTAGAAACACATTGAACGCCATCACTGTAAGGAACGCGAAATATTTCGGCATGTCACCATCATAAGCCTAAAACATAAATTATGTATTTGATATTAGCTAGTATAACAATGTTCTTTCTTAATTTCTAATTATTATTGTCTCAATTTAAATATATCTTTTAAGATTTTTTTATAAACAAAAATTTATTTCATATTTATGGAGATTTGGTACTTGCCACACTCCTTTTTGTCCGATTTGAAGAAAGCCATAAGTTTATTTAATAATAAATAATATAGTATTTTTAACACGATTTTCTTGAGAATTGTCAATGCTAATATTTATAGCATTGCCAATTTCCGTTTTTTTTCCGACTGAGTCAATTTTCGTTATTAGTAATTTAATTAACAATTCACCTTGATAGTTAAATTTGAATGAAAAACTAACCTGAGTTTTATATAGAGAATCATATACTTTATGAAAATGCCTTGCAAATGCCTCTTCAGAAAGTGGTATTCCAAACAATCGGATTCGTTCTCGTACCGCTACTAGATGTGGCGATGAGTAGAAACCGGTACGGTAGCCGTGTGCGCGTAATATTGATTCACACATTGCACTAGTTGAACCCTGAAAATATATTTTACAATATAGTATGTAATTAATAACAAATTGAGGATGTAGGTACATAGCTCCTCACCAATAATAATGGTCTTGATAATACAAATATTTACCTTTCCTTTAGTGCCAGCCACATGTATCACAGATAATTTATCAAGTGTGTTCAATGAAATTCCAGTTCTCATAAGATAATTTTCCATGTCTTCCAAGTTTGTACATTTCTAAAAATATTGTGTTTCATTAACTACATTTAGTACAGATTTCATATTGTATATATGTAAGCTATAGCTTTATATAATTACAAAAATGTATTCTATCATAATATAGAAAGATGATTTCTATCAAGATACTATATGACTAAATTCTGAATGTTTTAACAAACCATCTATGTAAATCATCTTTTCACAAATCACAAATATTAAATGAAGCATATTTGAGTAGCAGTACTTAGTAATTATAAATATTCGATTTTAGTTTCTAGGTTGAAACTTACTTGGCCAGTTTTTATATCCTTGCGAATTTGTGCAATAGTTGCTTTATTGGATTGTAGTGAGTTCAGTTTATGAACAGCCTCCTAAAAAAAGAATTGTTATATGTACCCACTGAAATATTGTCAAAATATACCTACTGAAACCTATGAGAAATAATATACATACTATAAGTGTTTAAATAAAAAAATACTTCCTACTTACTAATGATGATAAAAGAACAGTTATATTTATACGCACTATTAATTATTGCATAACTTACGAATAACTTATTATTTAACTCTTTATTTTATATAAATACGGTACTAACCTCGTATTTGTTAGAAAACATTCTGCAAACTATTCTGAAAATTAAACTACGACGCAGGCCGACGCTAATCATCGACACACTAAATCAAAATTTAAAAGGTAAACTAAATTGATAGAAATAAATTGCGTCTACACTAGACAAACTAATCGTGTACTTAACGTAACTTTCTTAGATATTATTGATCTTCAAAGTTTTTACTAACTAATTGCCGGGCTACTGATTGAGTTATGTAAGCAGGCGTGATTATCTTAGAAATAATACGAGTTGTGACATCTGATCTGACCCTGTAATGAGTAAAAATCCATGAAAAACGAGATATTACTGCTTTTTACAAACACGAAAGTTAATAAATAACATTGCACAACAGCTGACAACATAACCTAGAAAAAAATCAAAACAAAATATAGTATACAGACTAGAAAATATTGTTTAGTGACATTGACAGTAATTTCTGAATGTATAATGCATACAATGTCATGTTGATGACTAGCGTCTAGCGGTTAATTGTTAGTCTCACAGACATAATTTTATGATTAGTTTGCAACTAAAGTTTAGTTTCTAAACAATACAATTAATTTTATTTATTTATTTTGATCTTATAAAAAATCAAATTTAAGCCCTTAAAACATCTCTATGAGAAATGTTTCTGTTTAGTTATATTTAAGTCTTTCCACAAAGTTTTGTAGCCATAAGTAATTACTAGCCATTTCATTGCTAGCATTGGCGTGTGACGTAAGTCATTAAGTTATATTTTATTATTAATATCACGGCTTATTAATAGTTATTCAAAAATTTAATTATTTTAAAGTTAAAAAAGAGTTATTGGACCATTTGGAATAATGACGGAAACAGATGCTACCAACAGACCTTTGACGATGCCTGATACTTTTTTACCATATCTTGAAAAGCACAGAATTTATAAACTGTTCAAAGTGAGTTCTTTACTAAACCACTTATATATTTAAAAATTACTGGCGAGAGTATTTAGCAATCAATATAAAGGATATGATTGTAACTTTCAGGCGTTTTTTAGCGACAAACACATACCAAACTCAAACACATAAGCTAGGCCTAGCCTTATAATCTACACTTCTTATGGTAGCCTTCCAATATATATAGATAATTTTAGTGGTAGGAATACAAAAAACCCATTAAAAAAACTAGCGAACTCTACAATCACTGCGAAACGCGCTTACGAAAATTCTGGCCGCTATGAATATAATATACTACTTCTCGACCTTAGCCACCGGGTCTTTAGGCCGGCCAGTCAGACTGTTCACCATCCTTCCACCACAAAACCATTTAGGGTATGATTCTAAATCGATATTTAATGCGGAGTGTGACGACCGTATGTTAAAACTGCCTGAGTTTGTTAAAAACACCCGAGTTTCTCTTCTCTTAATTCTGGTTTTTTGGACTTGTGTTCGAAGTTCAAAAACATACTAAACAGAATGACTACTTAGAACTTTAGATCTCATCAATGCAATATTAATTTATTTAACTAAATCGGTTTAAAGGTAAAATAAAAAATAGCCTAGTAATATAGTAAAAATAGTCCATGTCATTATGTTTTACACTAGTACTCGACCTCCTAGACGGAGTGAAGGCCTCCTCCAAATTCTTCCACATTGTCTCTATTCCTTGTCACAATTTTCCACTTCTGCCCCGCTTTCCCTTTTATTTGATCTTTCCAAGTTCTGCTGGGTGTCCTCTTTTTCTTCTTCCCACTTGACCATTAAGTAAGGGTCTTCTTGACCCATCTGTCATATGTCAATTTATAGGTATAATAAAGAAATAGAATCGAGTAATTTAGCAAATTTTTTATTATGATTAGGATACGGTGCGGGATCTCGTGGTCCACCTGCCGAAGGATCATTTAAAGCACATGAAGGTTTTCGTCGGGCGACATCTGCATAACACAAAAGATGTAGATAAGGTCATCCTCTTGGTGTCACCGAAACTAAAAATTGGTAACTGAAGTAATTTGGTACAAAATTAAAAAAATTATTTCTGTGCATGTAACGTTTCAATTATTTCTGTGCTACAGATATTAAAAAGCTTGTCCATGAAATGATAAAGGATCTTGGATTTGTGGTTTTGACACGTCGATGTTTGTTGGACCGTTATGAAAAGGTATAATGTTTTGGTGTTGTACAACGAGTATATTAGTTATAAGTTTTTCGGAGCGACATTAGGTACGCTGGCGTACAGGTCCAGTGGTCAAGTGCTTGGTTTATTTAATGCAAATATTGGGGTTGGAACGTACAAGGACTATCTTGTCTGTTAAAAAATATCGTTGCAACTTGCACAAGTTGTATGTTTGCCGCAAGGTTTATTTTATCTGTAAATAGCTGATTTCGATCATTTTTCTTAAAAATGTAAGAGTGCCCTTACTGTATTGTAATATGCAGAGGTATTGGTATTATGGATTTTCAGCAGTGTTGGCCTAGTGGCTTCAGCGTGCGACTCTCATCCCTAAGGTCTTAGGTTCAATCCCCGGCTGAACTTTCTGTGCACATTTAACATTCGCTCAAACGGTAAAGGAAAATATTGTTAGGAAACCGGCTGGCCTTGGACCCAAAAAGTCGATGGCGTGTGTCAGGCACAGAACACTGATCTCCTACTTGTATATTAGATTCACAAATGATCATGCAACAGATTTAGAAATCTGAGGCAAAGACCTAAAAAGGTTGTAGCGGCACTGTTTTATTTACATTTATGGTACATTTCAGCATGATAAATACTTGCCCAAATGCATTTCACCGGAGTTGTTGTCAGAGGTGGCGAAAAATCTTACTCTAAAGGATCCTGTGCCTCAATCAGGATGGCTTATGTTCGGTAATACTAACGGACTAAGGTTATTCATAAAAATCAGTCGAACCGTACTGTTTTCACAAAATTACCTATGTCTCTTCTCATTACAGTTTAAAAATTGTTTAAGAGTAAGAGAGAAACAGCACTAGTTAAAAGAGTGCAATAAGATAGATTTTTTAAATTTATTTTTTATGTAATAGGAGGCAAACGGGCGGAAGGCTCACATAGTATAAGGTGCCCATCCAGCCAATCTTACAACGGAAGGGTTTGATGCATTTAATTTACTTTATTATGATAATGTTCTAAAATTAAAATTCTGGCACTCGGTAAAAAATCGTTTTCAATGATTTTATTACTCATTATTAGGTTCGAGAGTTGCCTTTATATCTATTCCAGATCACCCATGCTCAGTTCGCGAAGCACAATGTCTTCAACAAGATGGAGTTCTTCCGACAGTTACCTTGGTTCTCATTCCCTCACCGCCAGTGGCTCATGTAGATGACGATCCTTGGACTGCACCAAGAGGGTTTAACGAGCAGGATTTTGAAGGACTTAAGTTTGTTTATAAGTCTACGTTAAAGGTTGGGAAATGGTAAAGTTTCTTATACAAGACAATTATATACTTAAGACATCTGATGCGCCTGTTATAATATTTTTAGCAAGTTTTTGCGTCAGAGGGTGTCGGATGTTGTCCAACATTATCTATATAAAGCATGAGGCGTTTATAATTCTTTTTTATTTTTATTTAAGTGTTTCTAACTATACGGTTCCTGGTTCATCGGGGTGCTTTAAATCATAAGGGATTTTTTTACTCTATTAACTACTAGCGTACAACTATAGAATATAAGCGAAATAATGAAATGTTAATTGCTATGTAACGAATGAATGCAATGAAACTGTTGTAGAGAGTAGGTATCTACGTCTGGCTATACTCTCGGGGCGTAACTTCGACGATTTAGATAATCACCACGCTTATGAAACTACGAAAGCCTGAGTGAGCAAAATGTACAGCCTTGGTTCGTACACTAAGAAAACAATATTTTTTATACCTGCAAACGCGAAATAATTATTGTTTCGGGATAACAAAACAAGAATTATTACATATGACTATTGACTAAGTAACGGGTCACCGTTGCTTACTGACTAGATTAAAATGATTTTATTGAGTAAAAACTTAAAATATGTTTAATCTACATTAATGATTATTCAACTTAAACTGTGTAATGCCGTAATGGGATAAAGGGGGTTACTGCGGGCTTTTTTTAGATAAGTGTTGTCTTCCATCTTCGAAATTCAATACATTTTTGACATACGAAAGCCAAACTCTAAATTAAGCGAAATTAGACTATTGTCTTATGTTTTAGACATAAGAATTTGAAGTAACATTTTCCCCAAAGAATCTACGCTTCTCTTGGCCTTCGGTAGGATCAAATAAGCTACAGATTAGGCGGATAAAAGAACTTATAATATAAAGATATTACGGTTAATTCTAGGAAGTCTATATTGATCCCGAAGATGACCATGAGATACAAGGCATGAAGTGTTTCAACGCAATAAGAGCCTGTGCATCTGGGGCCCAGGGCCCAAAACAAGGTGTGCACACTATGGGGGCTCCGGGAATCTACCGAGTATTGTTAATTGGGCCTCGAGGGTCCGGAAGACGGACACAGGCCCGGACAGCTGCTAAGCACTTTGACCTTGTCTGCTGTACGTAATTAAGTACTTACGTTTTAGAAAGGAAGACCTAACGATTAGCCTTTGTTGGTAGCACGGCAAGTCAAGTTAAACAAATTACTCTGGCTGCCAACAGCTTTTACAAAATATATACTATTTAATGTTGACAGTAGGTACAGACTTAAAACACGGGTACGGGTAAGGAAGGAACTGAAAAGCCCTATAACACAGGTACATATTCAGATATTATCCTCAGTTGCAATACACACACACACTATTCTTTATAGACCAGCAACTGCATACAGAGGCAATTCGCACCATTAAAATTATTTTTATTAGCAAAATTCGAGAGTTAGCACTGAATAAATTCAAAGCTCTCGTTAAACGTAAATTAATCAATATAGCTTTTTATAAATATTTTGACGATTGTTTAAATGATCCTAATCCTTGGGATTGATTTGCTCCAGTGAGCGGCGGAGAGTTTATTGCCAGTTCTTCTTGCCCGCTCTACGCCCTTGACTTGCGAACTGGTAGTAAATATAAATATTAAATCTATTTTACATCTTTTCTGTTGACGTTCATAA